TAGCTAAGATATGGAACCAACCCAGATGCCCCTCAGTAGATGAATGGATCAAGAAAATGTGGTATATATACACAATGGAATTCCATGCCTCCATCAGAAAGAATGACATTGCCCCATATGTTAGGAAATGGAAAGACTTGGAAAAATTTATATTAAGTGAAGTAAGCCAGGCCCAAAGAAACTTAGGTCCCATGGTTTCCCTTATTTGCAATAACTAGTGTATGTCTGAGTCAGACATATAAGAAAAGGTCAGATAAGTTGATGTTAGGTGAAATGAACCCCAAGATAAGTATTCAAATGTTTTTCTTTCATGAGATTGTTTCTAACATATTTATAAGATGATCTCTTTGTTGCTTTATATGTCGCTCCCCCATGGTATAACCCCTGCTTTCACTGTATTTGATGTTGGTATAATTTTTGGAGGGGCAGGGAAGAAACATTGTTTGAATAGGGATACAGATGGACGCATTGCAACAATGAGATGTACAAGACATTATGTGGAATAACGAACTTTACAACTTTGTCGGGGGGGGCGGCGGGGGGGAGGTGAGGGAGGAGTGGGGGGGGAGATTGGAAGGGATGGGAAAGGGAAACAAAGGAGGAAGCTACAATGCTTGATAAGAAATGTACTCATTATATTGCCCATGTAATTGTAACCCCTCTGTATGGTATTTTCACAATAAAAAAAAATTCTTAGTTCCAATAACTCAAATACCATGGCAGATACTCACCTTGTTCTTCTCACCATTGTCGACAGATTCGCTATAAGGTAATAGAAAATTACAGTGGTGCCTACTGTCCTTTGAATAGAGGAATAAAAACTTTCTTCACAAGCCCTTGCACTGAAGAGCCTCGAATTCAGCTGCAGAAAGGAGAGTTCATTTTAGCCACAAGAGGGTTACGGTGAGTTACAGAAAGATCTGTGTGTTTCTTTAATGAAAACCAACATCTATCCAAATGCAAATTAAATGTAATATTTTATTATTTTAGATACTGGCTGTATGGAGACAAAATTCTTGATGATCCCTTTACAGAAGGTATGGACACTGAAAGGTATGCTGGAAAAATATAACTCCCAGCAATCATTCCAAGTTTTATATGGAAAAATTTAACATGCAAAAATTTAACATGCAAATAATCCTGGTATGTCCGAGAACTGCAGAGGGCACGTGGTCAAGCAGCAAAAAGAAGCTCCTCAGCATTTCCCTATAGTAAGTCCAGTGACAGCTAACACGTCAGCTCTTATCTGTCTGACATCCAAGTGGTGAAGGGACCAAAGCACAGAGAGGCTGAGTAACTTGCCCAAAGACACACAGTAACCATCAGGTATAGAGAGTATTCTAATTTCATATTCCACATTGTGAGCCCTAAACTCTTGTGTTGTATGTTCCTCTTAGAATGAGAATTCCTGGTGTTATTTTTAAAACTAGTAGATTGAAACTTATGAAGAAGAATTGCTCCTTTCTTTTTAAAGGAAAAATTAGCCCTGGCCTGGATTTATTTTATTTTTATACTTTATTTTACTTTTTGGGGGGCAGCATATGGGTTTGAACTCAAAATAACTAGCTTTTTGCTGGAGATAAAATCTGGTGGAGTTTTCTGCGCAGGCTCACTCTGAACCACAGTCTACCATATCTTGGTCCTTTGAATAGCTTGGATTACAGGCCATTGGCATTCAGAAACTCAAGATCATCTTTATAAAACACTAGTGGTTACTTATAAATTGATCCTACGCCGGCTTAGGCAACTTTGGTATAGATATTTATGTGCCATGTGTGATGGTTTGTGACTTTGCCAGAACTTGGAGGCTGGACAGAAGGCTCGGGAATGTGAGGCCATGCTGTGCCAGGCAGCTAAGACCCTGTTCAAAAAGAAGGCTGGGCTGGCCTGGCGCCCATAGCTCACACCTGTAATCTCAGAAGGCTGAGATCTGATGATCTCAGTTCAAAGCCTGGCCACACAGGAACTGTTATCTCCAGTGGTGCAGCTCAAGTGGTAGAGCACTAGCCTTGAGCTGAAGAGCTCAGGAATGGGGACCAGGCCTAGAGTTCAAGACCCATTACCAACCAAAAAAACAAGCTGGGCTCCAGTGACATGCTTGTAATCCTAGCTACCTAAAAGGCTGAGATCTGAGGATATCAGGTTGAAGCTAACAGAGGCAGGAAAGTCTGTGAGATTCTTATCTCCAGTTAACTGCCAACTAAAAAAACAAGCCAGAGTGGAGCAGTGACTCAAGGGGTAGAATGCCACCCTTGAGGAAAAAAGGCTATGGGACCGCATTCAGGCTCTAGAGTTCAAGACCCACCACTGGCACACAAAAATGAAAGGCAGACAGGGCGGGGCGGGGGGGTGAGGGGGGCAGAGAAGGAAGGAAGGAAGGACGGATAGAGGAGGAGAAAGAAGGAGATAGAGAAAAAGAACAGTCTTTTTTTTTTTTTGGTCCGGTCCTAGGGCTTGAACTCTGGGCCTGGGCACTGTCCCCCAGCTCTTCAGCTCAAGGCTAGTGCTCTACCACTTGAGCCACAGCACCACTTCCGGCTTTTTTCTTTTTGCTTATGTGGTGCTGAGGAATCGAACGCAGGGCCTCAAGCATGCAAGGCAAGCGCTCTACCACTGAGCCTCCTTCCCAGCCCCCAAAAGAACAGTCTTAAGGAGGAAGCAAGCACAGAGGATTTAGAGAGCTGGTTCCCAGAATGATGAGCTGGAGGCATGCCAAATCACCTTTTCTGATCATCTACTAAAGTCCTCAACTTGTCAGCGCCGGCTCAAATGCATTAGCTCCTTTGCCAGACAGTGCCAAGTGGGGAGTGTCCACCCATTATTCAGTTTGTGAGAAGTCAAGCTGTGCTCATGAGATACTCAAGGAATGATGGGAAGTCTAACTAAAATCTTACTCATTTCAAGCCACAGGACTTGTCCCCAAAGTAGTACATCCATCCATTTTACCTCCATCTCACTTTGTCCCTCAGGTGTTTCAAGAATAAGAGGCTGGTTTCCCAGAAACTGTGTGGAAAAGTGTCCCTGCGATGCTGAAACAGAGCCAGCCCCAGAAGGCGAGAAGAAAACCAGATAGCCACTGCCAGAGTGAAATTAGTCTTTTTAAGTCCACTTCATTACTTGAAAATTGTACCTATTACTAAAGAATTATGCAATGAACCTACTCCGGTTAAGGTGTTCTTTTCCTCAAAGGTGCCCTAGTGCCATAATTTCATATTTTTATTACCATTTGGAAATGGAGAAGCCATTCGGTATATGCCTTTGAATCCCTGCCCCTCTTTACCACCTTTTTCTCCCCCCCCCCAAAAAAAAACAATAATTGCCTGGCACCAATGGCTCACTCCTGTAATCCTAGCTACTCCAGAGGCTGAGATCTTAGGATCATGGTTCAAAGCCAGCCTGAGCATAAAGGTCCATGATATTCATATCTCCAGTGAAGCACCAAAAAGCCAGAGTGGAACTGTGGCTCAAGTGGTAGAATGCTATCTTTGAGCAAAAAAAAAAAAAAGCTTAGGGACAGTTTCCAGGCCCTGAGTTTAAACCCCAGGACTGGCACCAAAAACATTTCTTTATCCAGGCAAATGACTTGCATTTTCTTTAGGGTTTTGCTCATTGCACTGCACACCCTGTACCTCACCTGCAGATCAAGTCCCCAAGTCCCCCCTTGGCAGGAGCATCTGCCTGTGATAATGTCTGTCTGTCAGTTATTATTTCTTACATAATACTGTAGAACCTATTGTAAGATTCATAGAAGCTCAGATTTTGTTACCTGTCTTTTAATAATGCAGATTTTTGTCAAATCAAATAAAGATCAATGAATGTTCTATATATAGTTTTTGTTTGTTTGTTTTTACCTAGTGTCTGTTTTACTAACTGGAAGGGTTTGTCTTTATGGAGAAAACTGCCCTGCTACCTGTGAACAATCAGCATGCGAATCTTGAGCCAAATTAGGATAGATTTGCCTCGACATAAAAACCCAGTCAATGGCATATTGAGATCACAGTGTTCTGTGAGAGTCAGAACACTTGACTATGTCTACTGCCAAAACGAGCAAGCTGATCAGCTTGGATGCTTCCATTTGGGCTTCACAGGAAAAGGACTTGTTGCCTAGACTTGGTCTAGTACTGGTCTAGTACTTATTCTTTGTCAGGAAACATGAGGCTTTGGGGCCCAGCTTGTAATAGGTCAAAGTAAGGGGAGAGCACTGGGATTTAGCAATGAGTGAAATACTACTGTCCCATTACCTTGGGAGTGGAGAGGAGGACAAATGAAATGTGTCGGGTGTTAAGGGTGAATAAGGCACAAGTGGAATGCCCTGAAAGTGCCAATTTTAGTTAGAAGGAACAGCAAGGATGCAAGCTAGAATGTACCTGGCATGTTTGAAAAACAGGAATTCAGTAAAAATTAACTGGAGGATATATAGGGGAAGTCAGAGATGTGGTGATCTAGAGCAGGGAGACTGCAAATCAGTTCCTGCCTTTCCTTTCCTTTGTACTCAAGAATAGCCTTGCCTTGGCCACCTGTGAAGCTGTCCATGAACATTCTCAATTCTGGGGGCCAGAGAGAAGCCCTAGGAGACATCAGAATCCAGCAGGTGGCAATGGGGAAAGAACATGAACTAATGCTCAGAGATTGGGCTCAGCTGTTCCTTGATTTACTTGATGTCAGATGAGAAGGCCTGGTCTTCTCCATTTACAGGGTCGACAAACTCGATTGCACGCTAAAAAATCTCTTCACCTCAGGCTGTTTAACTCAAGATTCCAAGTACTGTCTTTTTATTTTTTCTTTTAGGTAAATCTGGAGTAGCCAAGTTATAGAACCAATAATTAACATTGATGTTTAAGTGATCCTTATTTAAGATGGATTTCTCATTATGACCCATAAAATGAAAAACACTACAACATATATCTGCAATAGTTTATTTTAAAACTTTACATTTACAAGTAGAGGCACCAGGTATAAGGGGTATGGTAGTTCAGGGGGAAATATCATCAGTAGGTTCCTTCACAGAAGATAAGCCTGTTATGCACCCAGTGCAGGAGAGTTTTATTCAGTGCTTGCTTCATTTACTGGAAATTTTCACTGGACATAAGTCTCAACTCCTCCTTTCACGGTTCCAGTTCAGCAGCAAACTGCATTAGTTAGAAGATTAGATTAATCAGAAGATAGATACCCCTATAGACAACACTGTGAGAACATTTTTTAAACATATGCACCCAGTTTTAATACCCCCAAAGCAGAAATCTTAAGAATTTATGCTGTCAAAAAGAAGAATCTAGGAAATGTTTAGAATGATCAAATAGTTCCCTTCTGTGCAGATTTTAGTGTATCGAGAAGTCTGAAGAAGAGATTTATCTCACAGATAATAATTGGTATGAGCAGTCAGTTAAAACTCAAAAGTTGTGATGGCTTTGTGAAGAAATTAGAAAATAGATTCTAAACAGCTTTTCAGAACTTAAAAGACTTCGCTGAGCTCTTCAGCTCAAGGCTAGTGCTCTACCACTTAAGCCACAGTGCCACTTCCTTAAAGATTTCTTTAAATTTTATTGTAAAGGTGATATACAGTGAGTGGGTACAGTTACATAAGGTAATGAATACATTTCTTTCTTTGTGTGTGTGTGTGTGTGTGTATGTGTAAGGAGTTATGAGAAGTTAGTTTCTAACAACTAGGATTTAAGAGTTTCAATCATTACAGATGAATGAGGTTAGATACCCCAATGAACAAGACAGGTGCCAAACTCAAATTTTGGATCCCAGCTTGCTTATCCCAACCATCTACCAATGATATCCGTTTTGTTGTTGTTGTTGTTGTTGTTGTTTTGTTGGTCATGGGCCTGAACTCTTGGCTTGGGTGCTGTCCCTCAGCTCTTCTGCTCAAAGTGAGCGCTCTAACACTTGAGCCACAGTGCACTTCTGGCTTTTTCTGCTGAGGATTTGAACCCAGAGCCTCATGAATGTAAGGCAAGCACTACCACTAAGCCACCTTCCTAACCCAATGAGTACATTTCTTTTTGGACATTTTCTCCCTCTTACCCACCCCGATCCCCCAAGTTGTATAGTTCATTTCCAACATAGTGTTTAGTGAGTATCACTGTTGCATTAGTTCACCCTTTGTCCCACTGTGTGATTCCCCTTCCCCAATTCAGATAAACTTACATACAAGACAAGGTTACAGAAATCAAAAAACAGCATCAACCGAGAGAATAAACCAAAGGAGAAAAAAAGAAAAAAAAGAAATAACTGCAAACAGTACAATTAAAAAAACTTTTGTTCCCATTTCTTGGAGTTCATTTCGATAGACATAATTTTATATGGTCATATACATAGCTATTGAGCCATTGTGATCCTCTCCTAAGAATGTCCTCCTTTGTTCTCAGTGTGTGAATGCTTAGGGTGCTGTTTAATTGATCATATCCAAGTGTAATTATTTGTCTTCTACTATCCATTGGATTTGCTTGTAGATTTATAGACATACTCTAGTTATTACAAATAAGGGAAAACATGTAGTCTAGGTTTCTTTGGGTCTGTCTTACTTCATTTAATATATTTTTCTCCTTAGCCCACAAAAATCAATTGCTTTCTTGTATGCTACAATGAGAAAAGCAAGGCTGAAATCAGGAAAACATCTCCTTTTGTAATACCTCAAAAAAAAACTAGGAATTAAAGATGTAAAGGACCTCTACGATATAACTTTTAAAACCTGAAAAAGGAAATTAAGGATTTCTTACTGTGAATGTTAGTGAGCCTATATTAAGTCTTGGTTTATATATTTGCTATAAAGCAAGAAAAAGCCTCACAAGGGATCCCTAGGATATTTGATCTTGTGATCTCTGATTTAAAATGGCACTGAAGTTGGAACGCTTGCAGAAGAGTCAAAACACAAAGTGGGACCATGAAAAAAGTAAACACAGAGCTAAATTAGCCACGACTAAGATGAGAAAAGCAAGACTTCTATCCAGGCTAAATTTCCTGCTTATAAATCTCTGATGATATTTTTTTTCAGATGGTAGTTTGATCATGCAGTAAGTAAAACAACAGAGAGGAAGAAACACAACACAAATGAAAGAATAGTTTTTAATCTATATGCTCACACAGCAGCACAGACCAGGCAGCCAGTTCAGCCATAAATACCTTAACCTACTCCTGGATACTCTCATACAGGCTGTTGATTTGGGTCCGGAAGAATTTGCAGAGCTCTACTCGTTTTGCTTTTAGTGTTGGTGTCAAGAGCCCATTTTCAATGGAAAATGGCTCTGGATGAATAAAGATGCTCTTGACCTAGAAGATGAAGTGAACACACATATGGTTTATTAGTGCTGCATACTCTTCTACACAGCCCTCAGAGTGCTCGACGAAGGACTTGAAAGCATGTTTCATCTTATAAAAGCGTTTAATGAAGTAGACAGGTACAGAGCTAGTAACCCGTGGCCATTCTTAACACGTTTGTGATTAGAGAAAGAAATGAGGAGGGAGAATGGAAAAGGGACACTACAGGTTAATTACCAAAGGACGTGGTCATTGCCAGTTAAAGGCATAAATTCTCAAATCAATTCTTTGGAAATTGTATGTTTACACCCATGGTAAGTTGGAACTTTAAATAAAACTTTGAGGGTGACTCAAGAGACTTGAGTAAAATCAGTGGAACATACCTGTTCGAAGGACTTTAGACCACCTTCTTTCCCAACTTTCTGCAAGTCTTGTAAAATGGCTCCCTGGATAGTCTAGGGATACAGAACATTGCTTAAAGCATGACTGAAAATGAACAGCTAAGTGTGAACCCACTCCAAATGCCTGTAACAATGGGTTAGGATAAAAGCAGTATATAAAAGTATCTACAAAGCATTAATAGTGACTTTTCTCTAGATGATTTTACTTATTGACATATGTGTTTATTATTTTGAGGGTTTTTTTTGTCGTGGGCTTAAACTCAGAGCCTTGGCTCTATCCCTGAGCTCTTTAGCTCTAGTCTAGTTCTTTGCCACTTGAGCCACAGCACCACTTCAGGTTTTCTGGTGGTTTATTGGAGATAAGAGTCTCACAGACTTCCACGATCCTCTCTTAGCCTTCTGAGTAGCTAGGATTACAGACATGAGCCACTGGCTCAGTTTTGTGTTTTAAATGACCCATTCTATCCTAGGATCTAATAAAATTATTAAGTCTATTGGGACTGTAGCTACATTTCACAGAAATAGGAAGAGATCATTTCTTCAGATAAGAGGCCCTGGGTACCCAGGGATGCCCCAACTGGTAGTGCCTCCTCTTTGCCACATGGACCATGAGTGCACACTGAGTTTTCCTAAGTAATACTTACTTCATTTTCACACAAGACTTCAAATGATCCCTTAATCCCGAGTTTGGCAGCAAATGAGGGGAGTACTTCGGAGTCAGGAACTACCACTCCTACCAAGGATGACTAAAAAGAAACAGATGCAAGGTCATGAGAGGCCTAGCATACGGGCACTCCTCTGCCCCCAGAGGGTAAAGAGAAGGACTAGCTCATGGTGATTAAAAAATAAATGAAAAGACCTCCCAACTTCAAATCTATACAAGGGTCCTGCTTTCCTTTCATTCTCACTGATAGATTACTCCATTCAACATCTCATAACAGAAATGTTCTGGCCAAAGTTGACTTTTCAGAAAGAGGTGGTAGCCACTAAAATTTAGAAGAAATTCTGGCCTGTTCATGCCCACAGTTTTCCTTACGCCCTTCCTCCAAAGAGCCGAATTTAAGTGTGGGGTGTGTGTGTGTGTGTGTGTGTTTATATATATATATATATATATATATATGAGATACCCTGTCATGCCAGAGAAACTTCAACCAGAACAGACAGTAAGCATAATGTGGGAAACACTATTTTTCCAAATCATCTTTAGTAATTCTACTGACTTGTTTACAAAATCCATCATAGTGGGAAAAAAAAGTTTTTTTGTTGTTTTTTATCTGTTTTGTGCCAGGCCTGAGGCTTGAACTCAGGGTTTGGATGATTTCCCACTTGAACCATAGTACCACTTCCTGCTTTTTGGTGTTCAATTAAAGAGTCTTATAGATGTTCCTGCCTGAGCTTGTTTCAGAACCATGATCCTCGATCTCAGCCTGAGTGCCCAACTTTAAGAAGGTTTTGTTTGTAATCAACGTTGCCTTATTTATGATATGGAACATAGCTTCATTTCTTTAGTTCTATAAGCTAGAACTCTGGATATACCTAGATAAATTTCTGGCCGCTACACAGAACCACAGTGACCTGCACCTAATGGTGGCTCTTATTAAAATAGCTTATTACCCGTAAGCTGTCCCCATGTACAAAAACTTGTAGCACCAGTCTACTCCTGATGTAGATATTTTCTATCTTCTCGGGAGCAATGTATTCTCCTTGTGCCAACTTGAAAATGTTCTTTTTTCGGTCAATGATCTTCAGAGTTCCATTCTGCAGAATGTAGAAAAAACATTAGTTTTTTGTTTTAGGTTTTGTTTTTAGCATTAAGAGCTGTGTTAATAGAGAAAATGGAGAAGCCACACTTTTATCCTTTTTTTGGAGGGGGGCGGCGGGCGGTCAGTTGTATGGCCTGAACTCTGGGCCTGGGCACTGTCCCTCAGCTCTTCAGCTTAAGGCTAGCACTCTACCACTTGAGCCACAGAATCATTTCCAGCTTTTTCTGCTTATGTGGTGCCGAGGAATCAAACCCAGGGCCTTATGTATGCAAGGCAAGCACTCTACCACTGACCCACCTTCCCAGAGCCTCAGAGAAAGTCTTCAGGATCAGCTTGTGTTATATGGATAGTTCCTTCCTCCAATGAAGAAATTTTCCAGGCTGAGTGCAATGGCACACTAAAGAAAAAGTAAGCAAGCCCCCATCTCAACCAGCAAGCTAGCCATGGTGGTACATGCTGGTCCCCTGCTACATAGAAGACAATGTAGGAAGATTACAATCTAAGGACAGCCTGGAAAAAACACAAGACTGTGTATCAAAAATTACTGAGGCAGAAACAGGCTGGGAGTGTAGCTCAAGTGGTACAGCACTTACCTAGCAAGTACAAGTCTACAAAGTCAAGCCCCAGAACTGTCAATTAAGAAAAGAGAATACTCACCTCTCAGTTTCCAATTACTCTAGCTCCAGAATTCTCAGGAATAGAAAGGGGGTTATCTTTAATTAAGACTTGAATTAGTTAGCTCTGCTTCATGTGTATTTCCTGTTAGAGCCATCTCTCATGTACTAATCAGGCAGTCAGTAGTTGGGTTAGTTAGACCGTAAGCAGAGCTGGGGAGGGAAGGCCCTCTGCCCAGCTAACCACCAGAGGTCTCTGCAGCTTTATTTCTTTGAGCTTAGTTTCTTTAAGGAGCTTATGTTCTTAGGGACTTGAATTGCAGAACTGGGACAAGTGCAAATACAATCCACATAATCATACTCTAAGTGAGATCACAGTCTGAACCAACCCTGGAACCATTGATTCAGCTTACTCATCAATTTAGCATGGCATGATGAAAATGGTTAATAAGGAATGGCCTTTTATAACCTAGGAGAGGAGACATATCTGTTTTGTCTACATTTAGGCTGACTCAAATGCAGCACTCTTCTTAAACAGCGACATGCTAGCACATACTATGAGACACATCTCTAGGAATTATATCATTAGGACTGTGTTCTTAGAGGCCTCGTTATCAATCATTCTTTGAATTATAGTTAAATCTTGAATGCTGAGCAATAAAGGAATTTTTGGATCTAGTTACATTCCCTACGCTCCTCTAGCTCCTCAGCACATATCAGACCAAGAGAACTCTGGAGAAAGATACCCCTTTGGAAAAAAAAATCCCCTATGAGGCTTTGAAGGTTCCAAACTATTGTGGTGTAATTCCCTATCTTAGGAAAACAGATGGGATGGACAGCAGCTACTGTTACTATTAGAAAGTGAAGCTACACAAAGGCCTCACATCTGGTGCCACACACTTGTAATCCCAGCATTTGGGTGTCCAGAGGCAGGAGTACTGCGAGTTCCAGACTGAAAAATCAGCATGGGCTATCCAACGAGACCTCATCTCCAAAAAGAAAAAAACAGTCTCTTTGTTTTTCTTAGCAAGAGGCTGCAAAGGTCACTGAGAAACAACCAGTAGCCTCTGCAAATGCCTGGTTTGGAAATCCTACTTTTCAGGTTATGGTATGCCTTATGAATTAAACGGGAAAAGACACCTCCCTTTGAAACTCTCAAAAAAGAGAAGTTGTGGATGCATGGAGTTATCAAACCACAATTTCGATCTCAAGAAAAGTGAAAAGAAATGGAGCACTAGTTGCAGCTCACACCTGTAATCTTAGCTATTTGGAGATGGAAATCAGAAGGATCATGATAGGAAATTATCAAGAAGTTTAGGTGGGTATGGTGACATGTGCTTTTCATCCCAGCTATACAGGAGGCTAAGCCCTGGAAGATCACAGCTTCACGGTAACCCTGGTTAAAAATTTAAAAAGTTCCCAATCTGGGTATTCGTGAGTCATGCTTGCAATCCTAACTACTCAGGAGGCTGAGATCTGAGGATCATAGTTTCCAGCCTGGGCAGGAGTCTCTTACCTCTAATAAACCACCAAAAAGCCAGAAGTAGAGCTGTGGCTCAAGTGGTAAAGTGGTAGGTTGAGTGCAAAAGCTCAGGGACAGTGCTCAGACCTTGAGTTCAAGCCACAGGACCAGCACACACCACAACACACACACACACACACACACACACACACGAGTTCCCAAGGCTGGGAATGTGGCTTGCTGGTAGAGTGGTTGCCTAGCATGCATGATGCCCTGGGTTCGATTCCTCAGTACCACAGAAAAAGCTGAAAGTGGCACACTGTGGCTCAAATGGTAGAGTGCTAGCCTTGAGCAAAAGAAGCTCAGGGATAGTGCTTAGGCCCTGGGGTTCAAGGCCCAGGACTGACAAATAAAAAAGTTCCCAAGATCCCATCTCAACAAAAAAGTCTGGGTGTGGTAGCATGTGCCTAGCATAGGAAGTATAAATAGGATAGCAGTCTAGGTCAGCCCATACAAAAAGCAGGAGCCTATTTCAAAAATAAGCAGAGAAAAATGGGCTTGGAGGTATGGTTCAAGTGGTAGAGGGCCTTCCAAGCAAGTATGAAGACTTGTATTCAAACACCAGTACTGTGAAAAGAAAAAAAAATCAAAGGAAAAAGGAAAGGACAGAATATACAGTCCTGTTACTACCCTTTTTCTAGAGATACCACATAATTTTCTCTTGGCTATTAGCAAATTCTTTCCATTACATGGGAGCCATAAAAATTCTGACATCTAGAACTATCTGACCTATTAAAGAATCCTCCCTTCAGATTGTGTTTGGAAGCAATGCTGGTACCATGGGCTAATGCAGACATTGTATTTGATAAGAAATGAAGAAAAGCTTCTATTTAGTCTTTGTCTCCCACGTGTGGTCCAACAGTAAATACACTGTGGCTAAGAGGAAGAAAGACACTAACTTTGGCAACTCTTGGTCACATATTAGCCTACTTTCACATTGTTGGCCTCTGGAAGTGCTGAACTAGAGTATGAACCTCCCAGCTCCCAGCCTGGGCTTTACCACTTGCTACTTCTTTCTCTTTATGGTTAAGAGAAGATACAGACCTATTCTCCTCCATCTTTTTCAGCTGATTAACCCACTGGCAAATCTACCCCACTAGCCATAGGCAGATTTAGTCTCTCCAGCCCAGTAGTGTTGGCCCAGGAGCCTCCTCTCCCATAGCTTAGCATGCTCTTTTCCTAGGCAACTCTAGGCCCATTTAGTAAAAGCAGTAAATAATCAGCCTCCACCCACCCCTCTTTACCTTGAGATGACACATCTTTGGCATCAAGAACCCCTTAGAGTGACCTTCAGGTCTGGGCAGCTGCAACTTGGGTAGCAGCCATAAATCCTAGCCCATCACATGAGGAAGCCCCTGGTCCACACAATCCACACCAGGGTCTCCACCCCCTAGCCTCACAGGTTACATAGGTCACCGCAGATAGCCGGCACTACTTCTCTCTTGTGAGAAGGGGTCTTGCAAGTCCCTTTGCTGATAATAAACTTTTCTCTGTTCTTTGTGCCTGGATGTCTGCGTGGTTTTCTGGCAAAGTCTAGTAGAGTCGAACAAGTAGCATAGACTACTGGAAATTATAAGGAAATACTCACTGGAAGCCAGCGACCAATGTCTCCAGTGTGAAGCCAGCCATCCTTGTCCAGAGCTTCCTGTGTTTTCTCAGGGTCTTTTAGGTATCCTTGGAAGACATTGGTGCCCTTGATGCAGACCTGTACACCAGACAGTACAAGGTGGTGACAAGGGCAAGGGTGCTACTTCCAAACCGTGGACACCTTACAACACACGCCCTCCCGCTTAGGTCACCTGATGGGTCCTGCTACAGCACGAAGAGTGCTGTATTTTAGTCCCCACTACAGGAAAGGAAAATGAGACTCAGAACTATTTAGTTCCTTGTTAAAGATAACAAAAGAGTAAAAACCACACAAGCTCACAACTGTGAGCTCTACACCTCTTCACCTCCATGATGATCTGACTGCAGGCCATAGTTTACCCACCTCTCCTTCGTTGTTTACTGAAAAGTAATTCATGTCAGCCACATCTTCCAGCTTCACATAGTTACAAGACACAGGGACTCCAACATGACCTAAAATAGACCATGTATCAGCTCGGACACTCTGAAGTTCTAATAATAGTAGTTATTCTGGACAGATTTAGGAGATAGATAAAAAATAAGACTGAAACTCTTAAAAATAGGACTAAAGGGGCGGGGAAGGTGGCTCATTGGGAGAGCGCTTGCCTCACATGCATGAGGCCACAGGTTCGATTCCTCAGCACCACATAAGCAAAAATAAAAAAGCCGGAAGTGGTGCCATGTTTCAAGTGGTAGAGCGCTAGCCTTGAGCTGAAGAGCTGAGGGACAGCACCCAGGCCCAGAGTTCAGGCCCCATGACCGACAAAACAACAACAACAACGAAACCCAGATATCTTTGGTAGATGTTTGGGATAAGCAAGCTGAGATCCAAAATTTAAGTTTGGCACCTGTCTCATTCATTGGAGTATCTAACCTCATTTATCTGTAATGATTGAAACTTAAATCCTAGTTCAGTTAGAAACTAACTCCTCATAACTCCTTACACACACTGCCTGACAGATGGAGGTCTTACCTGTTGTCCAGTCCCCAGGTGATGTAATTGTACAGCCAGCAGTACATTCTGTTTGTCCATAAGCTTCAAATACCTGGGAAGACAAAGAAAGACTTTAGGACTAACTCAAGATCAACTTGAAACTGCCTGGCTTATGGCCAAGACATGAGGCAAATAGGGTCTCCAAGCATTGGAGAACAATTAGTTTCTTAAAATATTGAATTCATATCCCAGTTCCTAAGTCTTTAAAACTAAGTGCTCATTCAAAAACTAAGAGCTCTCAGAAATATGTTAAAGTGTTTGGATTTTTACCCAAATGAAAAGTATAGCATTTCAAGAAGGTAAGGAAAATGCAAATTATTCACAAAGTGATACACAATCCAGCGGCAATTGATTTGAACCTGCAGTACCTCTGAAAGAACTAAAGACATAGAGCAGCATTTTTTAAAAAAGTAAAATAGCTCTAGTTTTGATAAAGTACTGGAGTTGGCAAACTTTTTTGCATAGATTAATACAATAAATATTTGTCTGTCTCAACAAATTCACTCTGCCAATGTAGCTACTAAAGCAACCACAGATCATATATTACATGAATGGCTATGGCTGTGTTCCAAAGCCGTTTCATGTATAAAACAGATGGTGGGCCAGACTGGGTCTGCCCTGTAACTTGAAAACCCCTGATATGAAAGATAATATCGATTTTAGAGAGGCTGATGGCAGTTAAAGTTCCCACATTTAAGTTCCCCAAGTTCAAGCTAACTGATAGGCTACTACAGCGGTAGGTGTGGCCTGTCGTTAGCAGAGATAAAGAGAAAGACTTAAAGAAGACATTTCCAGGAGCAGGACTGGAGGAAGAGTTTGTCTCCTATTGTTCTTTGGAACTAAAGAAAGAAAATTTTTGAAGAAGAAAGAACAGAATGGCCAAGTGATGGTAGTTTGAAAACCCAGAGGAATTTTGCCAATGTCTCTGGTATCATTCAGAATCTTTACTCAGTTGGGGGTTTATAATTGGCAGTATGTATTTCTCAGAGAGTATAATCCTGTGCCTGTTTTCTACTTGTTCATGTCATGCAAAGATCAATGAGTAAACTAGTTATCCATTTGGGAGGGAGAAAAATTAGACAATATTTGTGTCCAGACCCCTAGATTTGTTGCAGGTGTAGTGGAGACATTAATATTTTTTAAAGGGTAAAACTATCAGATCACCAGAAAATATGGTAAAAACCAATGGTATGAAGTATTAGAGATTAGAAAGCCCTGTTTAGTTTTTGAAACCTTAGTTCAATTTAAAACCAATTTGAAGAGCACAGATAGAAAACATCAATCAATATAACCACACAAACGTTTGTATAAGTTACATACAAGGCAAGAAGGAAACCAAAGCAGAAAAGATGAGACCAGAAAAAATGCATAACTGAGATTGATCTTCTATTACTACATGAAGAACTCTTAGAAAGTAATATGGAAGATGACTAAATCATGCTTTAGTTCTGTTGTAAGGAAGTAATTCATGGAAGAAATATAGATATCAAGTTGGAAAGCTGTTTGGTATTGATAAAAGAAACAACACTGCAATAAGGTTTTGAATATAGAGGCAAATGACTAAGGTTTATAGAACTGACAAGGCATGTCACTAGGAAGAGCATGGGTAAAGGAGGCTTCCTGTATTGTTTCCAGGAGTGTATAGAAAAGACAAGATCTTTATGGAAGACTGTTTGATAATATACATTTACATGTAATATACGTATATGTATGTTCACATATATACACAGAAACACAAACATGCTCTTCGACACTACTTCAATGGGCTTATTCTAAATTGATAACTGCAAAAATACCCAGGGGTGCAAAAGTGTCCTTATCATTTCATCAGTTACAATAGTGGGAAAATGGTGTCTATCAATAGTAGATGACTTGTCTACACTTGACAGACTGCTGTGAAGCCATCCGTCAAGAAGGATTGATGTTGATGGGAAACTATTCCATTAGTATTACGTTCCTATTTCAGCACACTGGTTGCATTTATTCTAAGATTTCTCTACACAGATACACTAAGAGGTGCTGCTAGGGTATTTCCTCTTGGTTTTGAGGTTTGGGTGACTTTCTCATTGGTGCATTTCAGGTTTGTTTTTTTCAGTTGTGCTTCCATTTTTATTCAGATCATCAATACTATATTTTGAAAAAGTAAATTCTTACCCAGCATCCTAAGGCTGCCCGGAGGAATGTGAGGACCTGAGTGGAGATGGGGGCGGCTCCAGTGATCATGATGCGAACATTCCCACCCAAGCTGTCCTGCGCAGTGAACACAAAAGACTGGCTGTGACTTTATCTCTGGGCTTCAGTTTCTGCCACCCTCAAGTGAGTATAATTGCTACCCAATGTGGTTATATACCAATTTAACCAGTTAATTTACAGATACTTTTAATAGTGCCCAGTGTTGTGGAAATGCACTTAAGGTGTTCAATTGCCATCACCATCTACAGCTGGGATCATAACTTGCTCCAGGCTTTGTGCTTACTAGGCAAGTGTTTTATCACTTAAGTCATGACTGTAGCCCTCAGAACCCGTATTTGTTAAATACTTTATTTATATCGCTTATAATCACAGCAGATCATGTAATGATAGAATATGCTAGTATCTTCATCAAATATGCTTTATGCTTTTTGTATGTGTATGGCACAGGAGAGTAAACTGAAGCTCGAACTCAGGGCCTGGGTCCTATTCCTTAGCTTTTTTTACTCAAAGCTGACACTCTTCCACTTGAGCTATAGCTCTACTTCCAGCTTTTTGGTATTTAATTGGAGATAAGAGTCTCATGGACTTTTCAGTCCTGGCTGGCTTCAAACCATAATCCTCAGATGGTAGCCTCCTGAGTAGCTAGGATTATAGGCATGAGCCACCATGCTTTTTTAGCCAATTTGCTTTCATGATAAAGTTGTACAGGGGACTCTCAGAAAGCAAGTGGACACTCAGAGTTCAAGAGGACCTTCAGTTAGGATGATGCTCTAGCACTGGAAGAAGAGCGGAGTGTGAGTAGAGGGCAGCTCTAGCATCTGACTTTTCAGGACCCGACCAACTTACCTGGATCTTTGAAAAAATAAACTTGTCCCACAAACTGTCACGTCTGATGATACCGTTTTTGACATCACTGTATTTACTAGTAATTGCCAGGTTCAACATGAACTTACTCAAGGGTGTTTTGGCTTCATTTTGTACCTGTAAGATGATAGCACCTCTTAGCTAGAAACCTATAGAAGATACTTCTTAAGGTCATTAACTTAAAAAGGTGCTTATCAAGTCATTCATTGGTAAGCAAGAGATGGTGCCATCTGATTTCATAAGGGAACATCTCCAGATCATTAAGTGGGTTGTTGAATAACAATGAATACAGAGAACTAGGGTTACACTCAAAAAGTAATACACATGTGCACACGAAGCTCCAATCCTCCCATGTTTCTGGTCCTTGAAAACTAAATTAAGCAAAGAGTGGTGAAAAAAAAAACCAACCCATCAAGCTTTATAACAGTATGTAGCTCCACTTGGGATTTTTTTATGTAATATGAGAAAATAGAGCTAAGGAATCTGACTTCTCAAAAGGAAATTTTGCCTCTTTCCCCTTACTCTTAAGTTATTTTTATATCCACTATTATCACCTTTCTCTATAATAATAAAAGTCCTTTAGCCACATCACAAAAAACCCAACATACTTCCCTACTTAGATCATTTTCTTTCCTTTTGGCTTAACCAATTAACATCATTTCCCAGCTCACCTTATTTTCCTGGGCTTTCTTGACCCTGGTATGACTGCAACTCCACAATCTATTAATCATAGTCATGCCTAAGGACAGCTCAAAGGAACTCTTTCATTCCAAAAATTAAAGCATGAATTTCAAATTCTAGCCTTCAGATCTCATTATATGAGAAACAAAATCCACGAAAATCAAAATTCTTTCTAGTTCAAATTTTGAGAGTGCCTCTCTGGCCATCTTCTACATTTGTGCTTCTACTTCTGCACCTCCAGAAAACTAGGGCTGTCCATTTTCACCTTTAAGGCAAATTATCCTGTTAGCCGTAAGCATCCTCTCATGTCTGTAATACAAGATGAACATAGGATATCTTGTTGCCAGAAACCAAGGGCACTATCAAAGGCTATTGGGGTCATGTCAAAAGAACACATAAGCCACTTGATGGGAGCTCCCCACTTCTAAGTCAGGACAATCTGAATATCAAGTGTGATTAAAATGGGTTTAACACACAGGATGCAGAATCATGAGTTCATAACAATCCACACACACAATATGCACATATATACATTGAATTCTCACTGGACATATTTGAAGATTTTTGGGACACCAATTCATTTTTCTCAAGATTGACAAATGAAGGAATTGTACCTTTATGGTAGAATCTCAGCTAAGGAATAGTAGGGAAATGGCATCTCTAGAATCTATTTAAATCACCATTTGCAAACCCCAATGTTCGTGATCAATGACAGCTAAAACTACTAAGTCTTTTTTCCTTATTTGATAGAATTCTGGGAAAGTTCTTTAACTGCAGCCTCAATTTCCTCATCACTACAATGGTAAGAGTCAAGTATGTTTTGGGGAGGATTTGTTGGGAGAACATGTCTGAAATGTTTACCAGGGGGCCTGGTAACTCAGCAAGAAGGCTGATTACCTACATATAAATCAGAGGAACAACTTCCAAGTAAGTTCATCAGGGACTCATGAGGTCTCAAAGTTGAACTCTTCCTCAGCTCAGAAATCTAATCCAGAGCCAAGGGGGTTTTGTTTTACTATGGTTTTTCACAGAAGCAGTTGAAATGTGGCTTTATTCAGATGTTCATGGGGGCTGGAGGTAGAGCTAATTTCTTAGCAAAAATGGCATCCTTCAATGTCTTAGCACAAGTCTGTATCACAGATGGTCCCCTCCTCCAGGCAAGCCCACTAGAAGCCAAGTTGGTACCTTATCATAGACCCTGTTAAGGAGTCGAGGCACTGTGGGAAACACTGTGGGTTTGAGGGCTTTCATATCATCAGGTAGCAACCGGATATCTCCTTGAAAGAACCCAACTCTGGCTCCACAGGAATACACGACAGCCTGAAACAACATGGAACAGGGGGGTCGTCACCTGAGGAATCGCTGTAGAGGAGGCCTGAATTCTCAGTAGAACTGAGGAAATAAGATGGGGCCCATGACCCTATTTTCTGTACAGAGTCCTCCCATTTAGGTCCTCGGGAGCCCTCAAGAAAAGATAGAAACGCATTTTCCTCAAGGTGACACGACAGATAAGACAGATGAGATTGTGGGCCCACCTTCCAACCCCATCACGGCTGTGTGACAGTCCACTATTAAACAAACACTATTGACTATAAGGCAGTAAGAGCTGAGAGCTCCACATTAAAGAGGGGCAGTCTTCGAGTATGAAACTGTACAAATTTCAGAAATGGTTAAACATTTTTTTTTGCTGGTCATGGGCCTTGAACTTGGGGTTAGGGGATGTCCCTGAGCTTTTTTGCTCAAGATTAATACTCTACCACTTGAGCCTCACTCCACTTCCATGTTAAAACATTTTTACAAGTTTATTACAATCAATTTTTATTTATCATATAGCAACACTTTAGTCTAACCAACTAAACATTATACTCTGCTATCTATCTATCTATCTATCTAGTACCAGGGACTTGAACTCAGGGCCTGGGTTCTGTCCCTTAGAGTTTTTGCTCAAGGATAGCACTCTACCACTTGAGCTACAATTCCACTTCTGACTTTTTGCTGGTAATCGGAAATAGGAGTCTCACAGACTTTCCTGCCTAGGCTAGCTTCCAACATGGATCCTCAGGTCTCAGCCACCTGAATAGCTGGAGTACAGGTATGAGTCACCAGTGCCTGGCCCATTTTAGGTATTTGAGAGGAGTATAGAAGACTTTCCCACAATACTCTCTATGTTTTTGAAAGACCAGTGCTACATTTTGTTCTCAAGTCAACCTCAGAATCACTTAGCTGAAAACCTGGAATCCAGAAGGATAACACTCCTTGGGTACATACCATGTTGGTCAGACACCTAAAACCTTGGGGATGTTTAATCCCTTACCAGGACCAAATGTTCTTTCCTTGGCTCTCTGTAGGAGCTTCCTTTCCTCTTACTGCAAATTTTTTCAAATATTCTAACCAACAGAAAAGATAAAGAAAGATGCAATGTCTCTTTGAATCATCTCAGGACCAAGTGTGGATAGATGGCAAGCTCTTACTGAACTCATGAACATCCACTACCTTAGGATGCAAACTCAGCAGGGGAAGGCTCTGCAGTAAGTTGGGGGAGGGGGTGGGGGGGCTGCCAGGATGTGGATTCCCATGAGCCAACCTCCTGCCTATGCCTTGACATAGTAGAGAAAGGGCTAGAAAGGCTGTGTTGATGATTTCGGAATAAAAGAGGGACTATCAAGATAGAATCCCCCTGGGGGGGGGGAAGGGGGGAGGAGAAGGGTTGGGATTGGGGGGGAGGGGGGAGGCTGGGAAGGGATGTGAAGGGTAAACCAAAGGAGGAGGCTGCAATGCTTGGTAAGAAATGTATGCATTATCCTGCCCATGTAATT